AAAAAAAAAAAAAAAACTATACAAAAGCTTGCATCAAATCGTCATTGGTCTCCGTTAGTAACGGCGCTTTCAACCCTGCATAGGAAAAGACACCATGAGACACGTACCATGAAATGGGGTCTGGTAGATTAGGCCATGCAACATTTGTGTCGGGAGTAAGGGCATCACTTGTCAAGGCATAGGCTGAGTCCTGCTCTACGTCATACTGATAGCTATTTGCCGGCAAATTAACATAACATTCACTTAACCCCGAGTATCCCTGGAACAAGTTTGAGTAATCCGGAAGGATAAGGCGTTCATTAAACGGAAACCCACTAGCAGAAACAGTAGAGAGCGTGCGATTGGGTGAGAGCATCATGACCTCTTGAGGTGCCGGTTTAGTTAGTACTCTTTTCACGTAATAGCGCGTGCCAGGCATTCGAAGGTGAACCTGTTCTACACCAAAGTAGACTTTTACTGGACTAGACAAGTGTGAATCGCGAATGACGACGTAATGGCTTGTTTGCTTTCTCTTGCGCTGACTGTAGGCTTTCTCGATAATTGCATGATTAGCTTTATCAAACTCAGTAAAATAGGCGTTTTCGAGCATGAATCCCCAGATGATTTGACGGCCGGTAGCTGGATCAATTAACATTGTTCACGATGGATATATTAATGTAGCTGAGAAGAAGAGGGTTGACTTTATTTACTGAAAGGAAAGGACAGGGTCCTTTTTATATTCAAAAAGAGGAGAATAGAACGCCATGACTTTCTTCTAGATCTTACAGTTTGCTGATGTGCAGATCACGGTGCATTATGATAGGGCTGACGATCTACAGGTCCCTATTTTCTTTAGTATCCAATGCTCCAGTGGTCTATATTAAACAAATAGACTGAGCCCTTTCATCTGATCCTTGTTTCCCTGAATGTATTATGTAATCCCATCAATGTCTTGTCAACTCCCCCCTTTTGCAAACGCCACTTGTATTATCAAGACAATAGTTGTTGATATAGACATATGTCCTCAAATCATATCCGCTCTCGTCCTTTTCCCCCAAGCTGCATTTATTGACCGTTATAAAAGACGAAGGGGAACAAGGGCTCCTTCTTTATGTGGGCCAACAACCTTTAGTCAGATATGTCATGTTATATTAATAGAAACTTTGATCCCCCTGATGACCTTGGACTTTTACTGATCATGGCGAGTACCACTTGATACTTTTAGTAATCTTCATTATTTCGAATAATGGACCCTTTTTTACTTCTTTCAGAGACGATCCTGCTCGGGTATCACAGGAAGGTGCTTGCTCCCGAGGATCAAGAAAACAAAGATGTTCTATAATGCGTACTTTCTTTATTCAGAAAACTGTGCAGATTTCACTGGAAATAAAGTAACCAAAAATAATTTTTTTTTTTTTGCTTGTACTGCGCCTCTTGAACACAGATCGGCAAGTAATAAAGAAGGAATATCCGCGACATGGAGTATTGATAACAAGTGTCAAGTAAAATACTAGAGCTTTTAGGATAGAATCAACCTCTTTCCTCATGAGATTTGTCACATAACAAGTGTGATATATACACACACTTTTGGGAGAACCCTGGCTGAGAATCTGCATTAATATCCGCAGATGATAGAAATTAGGTTACCATGTCTGTAAAAACGGGGAGATATACTCTTTCGTGGGGAATCTCTAACCTTTGCATGAACAAAACCATCTGCCCTAATGATCCCAACGACTATATTTTCCCCCGCACGAAAATACCTCCTGTTTTTAAATACCCGCATATGATTGGCTGCAGATTAAAAATACAATTAGACCCATTCCGCGCGTCACATGTGTTTAAACTTTCTATTTCTCCTCCCTTCCTATTTCCTCCTTTCTTTCCTTTTACAACTCTTTGTTCTTCAAACATAAGCAAATACCCAATATGGCACCTCATAAACTCTGCATGATTCCAGGTTAGTAAAATGACTAAACTCAAGACAGAGAGAGAGGACTCACTGACTTTTTGTCTAGGCCCTATCGAGTTCCATGAAGATGTTCTCGCGGCTATGAGCACTCCCGCCACCTCTCACGTTGACCCAAATTTTATTCCCATATACGGTGAAGCAATCGAAATGGTTCGTAAAGTCGTCTTGACCGAGACTGCTCAGCCATTCATCGTGTCTGGTTCATGTACCTTGGGCTGGGATATGATGGTCAATTTGATTGAACCAAAGGATAATGTATTAGTCCTGAGTACTGGTTACTTTGGCGACAATTTTGCTGATTGGTAAGTCAAAGTACAACAGTTGAGTTTCGGGTGTATTTAGCCTTTTTTCTTCAGTTTGACTGTGTATGGTGCCAATATCACCATGTTACGCTCCGAAGTCGGTTCACGTCCTTCGACCGAGGAAGTCAAGAAAGCCTTGAGTGACAAGAAATACAAGATGGTCACTATCACCCACGTTGACACATCGTAAGTATCACGTTTGTCGGGGAGAAAGATAAAGGAGAAATTGGTATCATGTGATAACCTTTTTCTTTGTAGAACTGGTGTCTTATCCGACATCCAATCGATAGCACACACCGTCAAGTCGATCTCTCCTGATACGTTGGTCGTTGTCGATGGTGTTTGTTCTCTTGGATCCGAGGAAATTCGTTTTGACGAATGGAACCTCGATATCGTCATTTCTGGTTCACAAAAGGGTTTGGGTGTCCCTCCCGGTCTGTCCGTAGTCGTTGCCTCACAACATGCCCTCCAAATTTTCAAGAACCGACAGACACCCGTTATTGCCTACTACTCCAATTGGAACAAGTGGTTACCCAGTAAGTTCATCCATTCTGCTTATAAACACATATATACTTACTCTTTATCCATCTTCAGTCATGCAAGCCTATGAAGCGCGTAAACCTTCCTACTTTGCTACTCCTGCTGTTCAATTGATTTATGCCCTTCATGCCTCTCTCAAGGCAATTACAAGCCAGCCAATGGAAGTACGCTTTGAAAAGCATCGTGCTGTAGCTGCCAAGTTCAGAAGTGATGTTCGTCAATTAGGACTGAAGACAGTTGCTCAATCTGAAGAGTACGCAGCAAATGGTATGACAGCCATTTGGTTACCAGAAGGTATTGAAATTCCTCAATTGGTGCCTGCTCTTGCTTCAAAAGGCGTACAAATTGCAGGTGGTATCTTGGTTGGATTAGCTGGCAAGTACTTCAGAATTGGGTAAGTGTTGCCAAAAAAGAAAAGATAAAATGCGTAGACTCACCATCTTTCTAGACACATGGGTATCTCTGTCATGGAGCCTGAACGCGGCCATATTGACAAGGTTCTTGAAGCTTTGACCACTTCTTTAAATGAGTTGGGTTACAAGGCATAAAAAAGAAAGTAAAAGAAAAAGAATAAACTGTTTATTTGGTTTAAAGCAAGTTTGTGCCATGCTTGGTTTTTTTTTATTGGCATGTGTTTCCAAGTGATAAGACATACCTAGTGTAGTTTTAAACGAATTATGTAAATTGTGCAACCAAGACTGGATAACAATACTAAAGAAGAGACAATGTCATTTATTGAAAATAAGCAATGAGTAGTTTATTTGCAAAGAATCCAAGAAAATGCAAGAATGAATAAAAAATGCACAAAAGCAAGGCAAAAATGATGAGATAAGAATGAACAGGGTATGATTTATGACTTTGAGCAGGTTAATTCATGAACAGACTTGTGGGATTTCATACAGCGTATGCTACAGTAAGGTTGGATTTTGCACTTTGCACAAACAGGCATTGTCTGTTTTTCGATACTACAGTTTGAGCAAATAAACGTGGATAAAGTCCTGATAGAAGACGAAGCGGAATCTGAGCTATAAGTGGACGACCATGTGGGTCGAGTCTTGAGTGTGCTAATGGGCCGGCTTGGCACCTCGGAAGAGATAAGGCGACGCATGGAGGTCAAGGCGTGCTTTTGCATGTTTTGCTGTGATTCAAAAACAGCTGGTCTTACCGAGGCGCATTTTCGATAGTAAACAATAGCTTGTTCCACATCCTTGTGTTGTTCACAGACAACCGCGCGACAATGATATATGGATGTACGAATAGCTCTCTTGAACATCTCTTCTTCATCCTCTAGCTCCAACTCTTCTGAGTCTTGACTTGCGCTTGAATCAACTGAACTGCGCTTGGCGAAACCATCCATGGGAATATAGAGATCATTTTCAAATGATTCTTCTTTAAGCTGTTTGGCAAGCTCCCATAGCTCAGCTGTAAGAAGGTCAAACCAGGCTAAAGATTGGTATTTGCTTGTTTCGCGATGAGAGAGAATGAGATTGATCATTTCAGAAACCAGCTGGAAAAGATCTTGATTACAAATAATAGGCTCTTGCTCACGGGCAATCTTGAGTGCTGTCATATAGTAGCTTGCGACTAAGTCGCAACGATAACAACCATTGGCATCATGCTTTGTATTAACTTGGGAAGCTAATCTTATACAGTCCTTGACTGAGTACTTGCGTTTAGCATCAACAGCTAGTTGATATTGATAATGATTAGAAGAGAAATAAGAGGGCTGAAGTACAGTTTTTGATTCGATAGAAGGGGATTGAAGAACTTTTGGAGATAGCATTTGAAGATGAAATGTGGAAAATAAGGGAAACACTTGGCTTATTTATACTTTAGTCTTTTTTTATTGTCTAGAAATCTAAAGAATCTCCGATTGAAAACACGGAAGCAAAGATATAGTTTTTTAACTTGAAATCGAGAAGAGCCTGAATTTTTTTTAGACCAATAAAATTTAACTTTGGACGATTTTATTATTTTTTAAGGCGAACTGACCTTGCCAATTGAATTTATTCAAAAAGACTCAGAATAATAATTGTCTGTGTGTATATGCTTGTGTGGCTAATAGATTGGAAAAGGGCATTGTGGTTATGTTACAATGGTGGTGGTACACAGTCAAAGTGCTTGTATCACAATTTGTATTCAAATTCTAGTACGTTTGTGTATGTGCGTTATGTATAATGAGCATATGAATTTTGTATAAAATGCTATTCAGTATTACAAATGATGAGTTGAATATAGTTCTTTGAACATAGTTTTAAACCGCGACTAGATTACATAAGTATACTTATCTAGAACTATATTTGCAATATCAGGGTAATTTATTACGACAAAGAATGAGTAACACTGAAGTGCTTGTGCTTCATGCACGGAGATTAATAAAAAAAAGATATAGTACCGAGGATCAGCGAAATCTTTAGGCTGCGTGGAGAATATATCGTGATTTGAAGCCACAATCGGCCAAGGAAAAAAAAAGACAAGCATAGGCAATGAAGGTAATAAAAAGGTACGGATAATAGGTAAATCTTAGTATTACTCTTCTAAGAATCAACAGGTTACCTCAACATAATTCTGTTCTCAACTTTTTACTTTTAAAAAAGGAAAATAAATGATTTAAACTGCTTCAATTGAAGAATACATTATTGTTGTACAAAACGTGGAAAAAAGAAGTGTCATAGAAACGAGGGTTACAGAAGAGCAATCGCGCGCTTTTAGGATTAGATAGTGAATACTAAATAAGGTTATGTCTAAGGCCGCGTTTCGGGTGCTCTTCCCTTTTGTTTCTTTGTGGCCCGAAAATATAAAATGGGATTTTTTTTTTTTGAAGACAGAAATAGACGCATAATGTCAAATATTGTAGTCTTTACATTGCCCAATAGTATGTTTCTGATTAGTGCATGCGCATAATCAAAGTAATGTGAATGGTCGATCCGTTCTTATTTAAACATCAGATTAAGGTCCTGTGTAACAAATCTTAACAGATTGCGACAAAAAGACACAAAAAAAGAAGGATAGGTAAATTCAGATATAAATCAGCAAGTGTAATGGTTACCATGACTACATATTACCCCCATGACATCCTCATGACTTTTATTCCCGTTTTTCTATTCTAGAAAAGGGTATACCAGACAGGAGACTGAAGTTGAATTTGACCAGGCACATGAGATCACCTGCGTATAGAATCAAACTCAATTACCAAAGAATTACCTTAAAATTGAGACGAGTCTGAATTTTTTTAGACCAATAAAGTTTCACTTTGGACGATTTTATTATTTTTTAAGACGAACTGATCTTACCAATTTAGACAAACGTGATTTTTTTCTAGACGAACGTAATTTTTGTCTAGATGAGTGTGATTTTTTTTTTTAGACCTTTTACCCCGAAATCTAAATAACTATAATGGACTTCATTCACTATAATCCCGCAGAGGAGCTTCTTTTAGCGTACGATGACAGCTCTGATTAAATGGATTTTGACGCTTTAGCCATTCAGTATGGCAAGGTACAAATGCTCGTTGATATGGATACGTTTCCTGTCCCTGAGCCTCAATTATCTGAAATGGAAGAGATGATGGAAAGCCTCGTTGAAACGTTTCAAGAAGTCACTATCACTGCATCTGCGAAATACAAAAATATGGCCAGGACCAAATTGAGCGTTTCATTCGAATAGTTCAAGAAGAGGGACTGACAGCGCCAAAAGCAGCAGAGCAGTGCGATATACCCCGTATTAGTGCTTGCAAGCTATTAGGCGAATTTAACGCCGGAAATGGGTCCGTACTTCCTGGCAGTGTTCCAAGGAAAATTAGACAGGAGCCAAAAATGTTGTTTCCACAGCATTCAGCCTTTTTGATCGGACTATTTGACGTCAACTCATCGACTGTACTTGGGGAAGCAAGGCAAAAGTTGTGTGAACATTTCAATGACCTTGAAATATCTATTCGTGGTTTTTATAAGCATATCCGAGAGAAATGTTCAATATCGTTAAAGTAGGCAACGAAATACACTCTGGGGCCTGATGCTCCAAGAACTATCGAGCTTCGTTTTAACATTATCAATCAGTGAAAAGCCGCAGGTGTCAATTTTTGTGAAAACTACGTCTTTATCGATGAGACAGGCTTTCACTCACAGTTAATGAGAAGTCGTGCTTGGTCAAAGGCCGGGAATCCAGTAATTGTAAAAGTTCATACACAGAAAGGTGTTAACATAAGTATTGTTGGCTGTAGCTCTCCTTTTGGTACCATTTGTTTTTCTAAAGTCGAGCATTTGAAAAAACCGATGCAGCAGTGATTGAAAAAGAATTCCTTGAGTCATATCCTTCTAAAAAAAAAAAGAAAAGCTAGTAATAAAAGTGAATCGAAACCAATCCAGCTTAAAAAAGGTACATCGGCATATCATATTGTCAAGTTTATGAAATCAGTGATGGATATTCTGGATAAGCACAGCAAAAAAGGGATGTTTAATGTTATGGATAACTGTAAAATTCAACACTCTTATTTTGTTGTGGATGTCACCAACAAACGTGGCTATAAAACATTATTTATGCCACCGTACTCACCCTTTTTGAACCCCATTGAAGGATGTTGGTTCAAAATTAAGAAGAATATAAGAAGAAGCCCACTCGACAAATCAAACATGCTTACACCACGTATTGCTGAGGCTTGTAAACAGGTTACCGTCACTAACTGTCAAGGATGGATAAGACACGCTGAGTCCCATTGGGATCGATGTATTCAAAAAGAAATGGGATTGAAATAGTCCAAGTAAAATGCCACTCGCCTAAAAAATGTCATGTCTATCTAAAAAAATCGAAAACCATATAATATGCAAAAGAAAACATAGATGATTTTCATACTTGAATTATCTGTCTTTTGCAAATTAAATGAATTCGTGTGAATGTGAGTGTGGTAATGATGTGTAGCGAATGTTAGATCGAGATCTGGGGGACGAGAATCCTGCGACACTGTCGTATATCCTTTTATAAATTCCATGTAAAAATGTTTGATGCATACCGATCACAGAATAATGTGGATATCACAGCGAATACGGTGTTTCCTGATGCTAGTTTTTCCTTTATTGCAACTATATAAGGAAAAAATACAATTTCATGAGTATTCAATTTTTATATGAAGATGGAAATGGCATTGTTGTCGATGAGTATGGCAGGCCGGAAGGCATGCATTATATTGTTGACGAAAAGCAGTATGTTCTTGAACAATGAGTCTCAGTTTGGAATTTTAACAAAGCTCACGGCTTTTTTTTATTGTGTTATTTCAATGAACAAGCCAAGGAAACCGAAGGGATAAGGGATGGTATACTTTTTTTTTGTGCCTGAAACGACCAATGGTCACATTAATATCATTAAGGACGGGTTTTCAGAAGTCACTATGAGATTCATCTAAGCATGCGATCTGATGGCAGTTTTATCGAGCGTAAGCCCGAAGGACGGCTTGTTTGACCGATTGATTTACCCTAGTAATCACAGGTGCTAGAAAATTGGCGAGTTTTTGGAGTTCGTGGTTTAAAGATTCGTTGTCGATGATGGCAATGAAGATAGTATAATCAAAGAATTGATTTAAAATCGATTGAAAAATTTTGTATATGGCAGTTCTCACCATCTTCAATTTGCTGCATAACGAGGATAAAGTGCATTTTTCTAAACGAAGATTCCCACATATAACATTGATTGCGATTGTTTGGAAAAGCTTGGATGCAGTACGGTAATCCGCATTGTCATTGCCATTATCCCATTCTGCGAGAGTATAGATGGTATATGGTCTAGCCGCCAGATCATCTACTATCTCGTTGTTTGCTCGACAAAGAAAGTAGGTCGATTGCTGGTAAAAACGAGCTCGCAGTTGGCGTAATTGGTAGATCAAATCATAGGGAGCAATGGATGCTGCATTGTTATTTGGAACAATTTCAGCTGCTTCTTTCCAAGCCGATTCCTTGATGAAGATTGTGGTATTTTTTGCTTGGGAACTGTCGTTCAGGTCAAAGGATACGGTGCTTGGTCTAGTTTCTGGGTATAATAATACATCTAAACGTAGACTTGAAGTGATTAATGCATTAAACGTCTTTGTTCCAATTACCAGTTTCGTGTTATCCGCATTCGTTATTGTTGTGGGATACACGTTTTTGTATTTCGTGTCCTCAACAAAAAAAAAGTCCAAGAGTCCACAAAAAAGGCGACAGAGCTCATAGCCAATCAGAAAGCCCCATTATTGGATGCTTAGACTCTTGGACCCCTCCATTTCAGATAATTGAGGCTCAGGGACAGGAAACGTATCCATATCAACGAGCATTTGTACCTTGCCATACTGAATGGCTAAAGCGTCAAAATCCATTTAATCAGAGCTGTCATCGTACGCTAAAAGAAGCTCCTCTGCGGGATTATAGTGAATGAAGTCCATTATAGTTATTTAGATTTCGGGGTAAAAGGTCTAAAAAAAAAAATCACACTCATCTAGACAAAAATCACGCTTGTCTAAATTGGTATTTTGTGTGGCTATTCCCCGACTAAACCTTATCTGTTAATATTACTACCCTTACTAATAAGGTTTAGGTTGGATATTGATCCAACTATATGGTAAAACAAGCAACAAAGTGTTAAGCTATAGGCAACGACTAGTGGAATATAATAAAAGAGGATGTATACACTTTATATCATGATTAAGAGTGATACTTTATTATGTTCTTCTTTGGTAATAATAACCTCCATAGTACGACTTGGCATTCATGTTGCTGCGACACACATATGTACAAATGTGTTTATTTCTTTATTTGTACCAAAGTCTATTGTACCGGGTCAACATTCTACTTCTATGTCCCCTTTTTTTTCCAAAGCATCACGAACATTACACCAATGTGCTTGTTTTTAAAAAGGGTCCACGGATATGCACATTTTTATCTTTTTGCATAAAATACAAAAGCTGATGACCTCGCCTTGTTTGCTTTGAGATGACTCATGAGCCATAGAGTTGGTAGAACGATTTTTTTGATAGTGTCCATTTACCTTATAAAAAGAATTTCCGTCTTCCTTTAACCGAACATTCGTCAATGCAATCTGGAAGCGAGGCAATTTTGCTTAAATATTAAAACTCAACCTGAGGCATATTTGAACACTGCTGTACTATGCATCGACATATTTTTATAGGTTTATACTATCAGTAACGATTTATTGTGATCATCCCAAAATGTATGACGAAGCTAGACAAAGATAGGCAGCGAATTGTCAATAGGAACAGTAATACATGCTTGTGCTTCATCGCACAATACCTCATGTCCCTTTTATTTACAAAATTAGATATAGGGTTCTTTTTTATATGACTCTATGCTACTAAGCCTAGACTCTTCCTTCCCCTTTTTTTGGGATAAGCTAATTTTATGATGGTTGTTAATCAGAAGGTAAAATTCTATCCACAGATCTGGATGTCACACATCACAACTATCACACGCTTTCAATAGTTAAAATGTTGTACATATACTTTATTAAAAACTACGTCTTCAAAGGTTTCAATGTGCCATCTTTTTGTTGAGCTCTTGACAGCGCGTTACTCAGATTTGAAGCTTTTGCTATCATTCTTTCTTGTTGATAGGAAGATAACGAGGAAAGGCTTGTTGCAGAAATAATTGACATACGTTTTCTTTCTGTCCGTATGGAAGGCGGTCTTGTATAGGAAGACCTTGTGCCAGTATTCGGAAGTCGCTGTGAAGCTGCAGAAATGTTGGATATACTGTTACTAGATATTGTTGTCGCCAAACTAGAAAAAACAATCACTATGTATTTTTTTTTTTTTATCGACCAAAATTCAGTACCTTGTCGTTTGGGTCACTTTGGATGGAATCTCGTCACCCACCTTAAACATCTGCGACCAGAACGAAATGGGACGTAAACCCAATTCGCCTTCCTTGACCCTCTCGATCAGTTCGGTGAGCTGGTCACTGACAGATAAAAGCGAGGTTGGATCCTGTCCAACCAAACTGTTGACTTGAGGCTCGATCAAGTTTGTGGAAAGCTGCTTTAGGCTTTGTCCGATCATGGCCTGCTCCTGTTTCAGATCATCAATGGCTGACTGTAAGCCTTCGTAGGCGTGCTGGAGCTGTTCTAGTTCGCGAATGATCCATTGATGTCTATCCTGTTCTTCCACGCCATCTGCTGTTTCCTTGGGCACAGACTGAGCTTGATGCAGCTGCTTAGACGGCTCGTTAGATTGCTTTGTCTTTTGGTATTGTGCCATTTTGGCCTTGACACCCTCGGATACTTCATCCACGACCTCCCATACTTTGACAACTTCTTCCTTACGGTGACGAACGATTGTCTCTAGCTCGGTCTTGAGTGCAAATACTTGTCGAGCGACCTCTGCAGCTTCGTCATAAAGTTGGGTCATACGGTTTCGTATATCTTCTAATTCTGTGCTTGCTTGAGCCAGCATGGCCTGAATCTCTAGTAGGCTCTGGCGGGACCGAATAATAAATTTATGAGTGAGTACCTTGAGACAGTAAAGACTTGCATCGAGTCGAGTCATGTAGCATAATGCTGAGAGTTTGGAGGCACACTGAGCGTCGATCTGTTTGATCTGCAGCGCGGTCAGTTCGTTATGAGTGTTTGAAGCAGCAGAATCAGAATCATCGTCGCCATCGTCCACATCATCCACATACGGCATGTAATCTGTGATCTCCATCACTAGGTTTGTATCTTCTTTCCAATCCTTTTCGACCTTGATGTACGAAGAAAAGCAAACATCATCTGTATCCAACCGTTCAAGCAAACCTTGCAGTAATACGTGCGGCCTCACCTTTTGAAGTGAAGCGCGCGTTTCATTCAGCTTCTTCTCTGCCTCCTGGTACTCTTTCAGTAGTTGCGTTTTTTCAATGTCGAGTACGTGCTGTTTATTGAATAATTGCTGCGTCCAGTACATGACCTGGTTGAGCTCTGTTTTGATGTCCTTTTCTGATCTTTTTCCCTCTGCTGTATCTGAACTGAGTTCCTTTTCAAGTGAGATGCACAGCTCATACATCTTCTTTTTATTAGCAGTTACTATTTCCGTCTGCTCAGTAATATTCTGGATATCTCTTTGGATTTCGTAAAGATTGGAGTGCAAGATATCAAATGAAAGTTCGAGCTGATTCAGATTGTACACTTGATCTTCATTGACCCTCCTCTTCCCTTTAACCAAAGGCTTTGTCAAAGCTGTACTAGGCATAGGTATCGATGGAAATTCTTGGATATCATCCTGTGTGAACTCCTCCTTGATGACTAACCAGCGCTGCTCGATGCTGGCTTTGGCATCTTTCAGTTGACTTATCTTGCCTGCATCATCCAATTGCTCAAGGTATCTGCTGATCTCGTCAATGACTTGGGAAACGACAGACTGAAGATCATGACATAATCTTGTCTTATCATCTCGTACATGAAGTGCTGGATCGACAGGGACGGTCTGAAGGATAAACAAGGTCTGAAATAAATGAACAATGCCTGAACCCAAATCATGTTCCGTAACTGCTTTCTGAGGCTGTCTTCTAGATATAGTCTTTCTTAGCGTTTCTATTTGATCCACAAGTTCGTGTTGAGCAATTTCCAGCTGAGAGTACCGACCATCGATACGTTCAAAGACATCAAACAGTTTCTCGGTCTTGTCATGCTGAAGCTCAGACATTTCCCAGTCGGCCTGGTGTATTTGTTCGACCTGTTCTAGTTCTTCACGAAAGGCCATCATGACCTTTTCGACGCGCTGATCTGTCATATCAAACATCTCGTGTGCCTCACGTAGCTCATACCGGAGCTGAACGATGGTCTTTTCAAGCTGCTGGATCATCGACATTGACTCGTCTTTCTTGGGCCAGTTACCAACGATGGAATCAGTGAGGTAAGCCAAGGATTGTTCGATAGAATCTGTAAACGTGGTCTGGTAGTTGAAAAACGATTTCAAAATGATTTCAAAATCGTTACACTCTGCTCGGTTGTCCTTGAGGAACAAACTCGTCGGTCGGTGAATCAAGGTGAGCGACGTTCGGTTATATTCTGATGCTGAATCAAACGGACGGATCGTGCCGCTTGAAGAGTAGATCGATTTGGTCTTATTTGAGTTCTTTCGTTCCTGGTCCAACGCAAGGATTCTTCTCTTGAGCTCCTCAGATTTACATAGGTCTAGAGGCGTTGCTCCCTTTTTGTTCTTGTAGTAGATGTCAGCTCCTCCTTCGAGAATGAGCACCTCGATGACTTCGGCTACACCTCCAAATTCAGCAGCAAAGTGAAGTGGCGTGTTACCAGTAGGATCTGCAATATGAACGAGTGCACCGAGTCGGATTAAGAGTGAGGCGCACGTTGCCAAGTGATGAGGGACGTTCATGCCCTCGATGGGCACATGACCATTGTTCTGTGATGGTGTCGTGTTGCTTTTTTGGATACCCCAATGCCCCTCCTTATCGGCACCGAAACGCGAAAGATGGTGTATGGCTGTGCGTCCGTAGTAGGTTTGGGCGTTCATGTCAGCACCTGCGTAGTACAACATCTTGATGGTGTCTAGTGAGGGTAGCGGTTTGGCCCGCATGGCGTGATGAAGGGGTGTCAGCCCTGTCTTGGCGTCATGGTGGTTGATGAGAATAGGAGGCCCTTGACGTGACTGACCTGGGTTCAGCTGTGGTGGTTTCATTAATAAGGTCTGAAGGGAGACATGATCATGTGTTTTAATCGCTTGTAAAAAGGCAGACTGGATGATGTGGATCAGAGGTTGTGCGGTGGGATCGAGAATATCCAGTTCAGGTAATGTGTCAAATTGAAGATGAGAAAGTGAAGAAGGGTAATTGGGCATCGTATTGATGAGATGAGAGAGTCTACTGTAGTTGAGTGGATATTTGAATGGAACATCATCCGTTGTCTAACCAAGCATACTTAATACACTACGCCACTGTTTTTTTAAAAGGTTCGCTTACAGCATATTCTGCTCTTTTCACTCGGAGCACTTGTTCACACATCTGTACAATCTCGGGGTTCCTTTCCGCATATTGAATAGCAGACCATCCATGGCTATCTGTCACGTCAGGCGATGCGCTGTATCTGAGTAATGTTTTAATGATAGGCACATTACCATCTCTGGCTATGCATACACATAAATGGGGATGAAAAGGAGAAATATAGTAAGGAGAAAGAGAGAACATACCAGCATACATCAAAGCAGTTGCATTCTTACTGTCCGTTCCATCCACATTGACCCTTCCATCATCCAACAGTAACTGGATAATATCTGCTTTTCCCAAGTAACTCGCCAAGCATAAAGGCGTAATTCCCTTTATTTCATACTGAGGAGAGTCCAAGGTTGCATAATGCAAGTTTGGGTGACACATGATTATATTTTTCATTATATCAAAATGATGAGGGTTTGTCTGTGCAATCAAGTCAAGGTTGGATGTGTTGATGTTGGATGCATCCAAATCGATACCATAAACCGCACAAATCAAGGCGGTTCTTTTAAGTATATAAGAAACAAATAAAGAGATATGACAAGTTCAGTTTACCTTCCTCGACCATCTTTACTATTGATATCTGCCCCTGCACTAAGCAATAGCCTACACATATCGGCGTGCCCACCCAAGACAGCAATGTTGAGTGGCTTACATTGATATTCTTGATCGTTATTGATCAGGTCAGGCCTATTGATTCTATCAGGTGGAATCACAGGGGAATAAGTATCCTTTGAGTTCCATAAGACAGAGCTATTGACATCTGCACCTGATTGGACCATGGTTCTGACTCTGTCAATATCATTTCTTGTGATTGCTCGTATGAAATCCATAATAGAGAAAAAAGAAAAGAAAAGAGAAAAAGAAGAAAAGAAAAAGAAAAGGAAGAGGGGGCTAAGCTGTTTAACGTTTAACAAAAGTAAGGAGAGTAAGGACACAAAGAGTAGGGGAGGGGAGAGAGGTAAAGCGATTAATGCAAAAAGTGTATGTCAAATATGATTTGCTGATAATTATCGGATTTACAAACACACATTAAATTTGTAGAT